AGTTTATAAAAAAATCAGCATCCGTTAATTCTTTATGGGTTTAATAAGTTTATTTTGAAAACCAACTTTAACCAATCGTCGTAACACAGCCTAATTGCTGAATCACTTAATTAGAAGTATTGAAACAATTTTATTATTATCAAGCACAGCAGCAAGCTTTATCTAGTCTGTATTGCAGATACATTGATGTTAAGATAGGCGAAGATCATGAGCCGTGCTGGCATAGTGTTGTTTGGTTGAAACTGATTACTGCATAAGTTAGTCGCACGCCGTCACCGGCTCGTATGATTCCTGTGCTCCTCCTCCGTGCGTCGTAATCCTCAGTGCTGAGGGTCGTGACCTTTACGGAGCACTTTTGTTAGGACTATGATTCTCCATTCACTCCTGTCCTCCGCGCAGTGGACAGCGACATTGATGCTGGATTCCAAAGTCGCCTTAATTTGATCGGACCAGCGCATGGGACTACGCCCCCTAGGCCTCTTGCCTTCCACTTTGCCGGATTCCTGTGTTGTTTACGTAGAAATCTGGTTTCTTTAACTATATGTTATTAAACCCAATAAAAGTCTTGAATACACGTTCTACTGTGTTTCGATTCACGCCCCAATAGTTGAAATGAAACAGCCTTCATAATTACATTTCGACTTACACGCCAAACTTTCTGCTACTCATTCGGAAACGCTTAATTCACCTCTGTTAAGTTACCTCTTAATGCAAAAAGGTCGTAAGTCCATCCGCAGTTCTGCGGTATACATTTCATAGTGTAGGACCACTATTCTGTCCTCTTTTTTTTTTCCTACCTATGCTGATAGCCTTGAGAGGCTATGCCAGCTTACCCTAGCGTGTGTAGGTAAGCTCACGGGGCTCAAACCGGAGAGTTGCTAACACTGACCCTAACAAGAGCAGTGCTTCGCAGAATCTACCACCGGATCGGAAACGCGACCCACTGAGAAGATCCGGCGAGAAACTGAGTGGGCTGTGTCTGTGGGTTAATTCGCTTGTCGAGCCCTTCGTCGCAAGCGACGGGTTCGACGAGGACGGTGACCGGATTCTGTCCTCTTTGAGGTCTATAAGTACATAATAGCAAGCGAAGCGGAAAATGAGATTGACATTTAAGAAACTGCTTTGTAAACTCTGAGTAATGTCATCTTCCTAACTGACCTTCGTAAACATACTCCACATTGGTAATTCGGTCGCCAATACACTGAACAATTTAAAAAGCAAAACAGATATTTGTACAGAGAAAGTTGCCCTTGTGTGTACCTAAGCTTTCGGTTGTAGTAAGTAATATTAAGGACGAGAGGTCGCTTATTGGTTTTCCCCGGTAAAAGCTTCCTTTTCGGTATTGATGTAAAGGAAATCTAATAACGAGCGGTTGCCGCTGTACTTGTGTACTGTTAGGTGCTTATGTACTTTTAGTGTATGATTTCAGTATTAGGAGCTGTTAAATTTATACGTAGTATATACATACTATATGATGTAGACAAGGAACAACTTCCATATAAATGAGAACTCAATTACGTGGTTTTCATTAGGTCTGTGGTTAATTGTGTTTCGTGTTTTTTATGTTGCAAGTCGTCGTGGCCTAAAGGATAAAGACGTCCGGTGCATTCGTGTTGAGCGATGCACCGGTGTTCGAATTCCAGGCGGGTACAAATTTTTCTAATGAAATACGTAGGTACTCAATATATGTTCACGATTGACTTCCACGGTGAAGGAATAACATCGTGTAATAAAAATCAAACCCGCAAAATTATAATTTGGTGGTAGGACCTCTTGTGAGTCCGCGCGGGTAGGTACCACTACCCTGCTTATTTCTGCCGTGAAGCAGTAATGCGTTTTGGTTTGAAGGGTGGGGCAGCCGTTGTAGCTATACTGAGACCTTAGAACCTATATCTCAAGGTGGGTGGAGCATTTACTTCGTAGATGCTTAAAGGCTCCAGTAACCACTTAACACCAGGTGGGCTGTGAGCTCGTCCACCCATCTAAGCAATAAATAAAAAAAAAAGAAATCCCAATCAAGAATTACTGTTTAAAGGGTATCACGACAGCTATTTTAATACAAAAGAATAGAGACTTCGAAATCATATAGCAAAGCGATAGGATCTATGGCGTAGTGTTGAGTCTATAGGCTTAGATAACAGCGGAACATCATATTGTGGAAGAGCTCGTATGTCTACGCGAAATAAAATCGATTAGAAATTACGTAACTACGTGAAACCTTAAGATACCGATTCCACGGACGATTGACCACTGACAACTAACATTTTTTGCTCTGCGTTTTAACAATTAGACGGATTAAGTTTACAAATACAGCTGTAGGTACCCAAATGTCAGAATCTTAACCAAACAAAAGAGATATCTGTCGAACAAAAAACTCATATAACCATACAGAATCGGTGAAGCGACGTAACGAACCCCGATACAAACTCTCGACTTGAGTTTATCATCTTTATTTTCGAGGCAGGTAAAAATCTTAATTAATAGTGGCACGTGATCAAACAGTAAACAATTTTGTTGTTGTAAAATAAAAATGTTTTTAGTATACCGGCGACGTAAAAAACCAACTGTTTGATAAAGCACGTTGTGTTTTTTGTTACCGAACCGAAATTATTCGGAAAAGTTAATCACAATCTCGGAAGTTTTTACGACTGAAACCTTAGTAGTGAAGAGAGCAGTCGTGTTTTCATAACGAATTCCGAAAAAGAATACGTTTCAATGTGAATCCTTTTAAAAATAACGTTTTTGTTTAACGATATTACCATGAAAATACCAACCCACTGAGTTTCTCGCCGGATCTTCTCAGCGGGTTGAATCTGGTGGTAGATTCTAGAAAGCCTAGCTGCTAGCCACGCTTTTTTACAATAAAATCATTTTTTCTTTCACTATTTTTGATTCAAATTTATTTTCTATTTTTAGTTGGATTTTCTATAAGAGCGTATTTTGTTAGTTTTTGTAAACTATTTTTACAAAATTTATTTTTCATTTTTTAGTTTATATTCAATTTTTTTAATTTTTTTTTCAATTTTTTTTTACTATTGAATTGTCATCGGTCCTTAATAAGTATACCAAATTTCGAGTTAATCCGACGTTTTGAAGGAGGTCAAAATCATGTTCAAATCGTTACAAACATACCTACCTACATACATACATATGTCTGAAGTTAATAAAAGCGTATTAATAGAATTTTCAAGTACCTACAGACATATGACTAAATAAGACACTAGATGGTTCGTGACATTTGAATATAATTTGATATTTAAATGAAGCTTGTTAAAGTCTTATTCTATTTGAATGAAAAACGTAGGTAACGCTTTTTTTGTCGACACTCTATTTTACTGCCCATCAACTTTTCGTATTGTAAGGCTTAAAATTTATTTTATTCTTAAGGAGTAAACTCTAACAACCGGGACTTTTTTTTTTAACAATCACGCCACGTTAACTGTTCCCGTGGTAAGTTCGTAAAGAACTTGTGTTACAGGTACCAGATAACGGAAATAAATATAAGATTTTTTATTATAAACATACATATATTTAAGATACATCCATAACCCTGGAAAATACATTTATATTTATCATACAAATATCCTCCCTTGGCGGGATTCGAACCCGCGACTCCCTTGTGTAGTGACCATGTCACTTACCACTACACCAGACGACTTGAAATGCTTAGTGATCATAGCCTGTTAACAATCTCGAAATCTTAGGTAGAATATCGATTTAGCGAGAGTATATTGTAGCCAACACGAGAACTGTACTGTTTCGGATTCCGACGAACTTTTAACTAGTTCATTTGTTTGTATATGATTCGTTGAAACGATTTTCGTGTTCGCGCATAAAGTTATGATAACCCTAATGTTGATTTATTTCTACGTATCTGCGTTCAAAGATAAAATGGTATTTTTTATTTATTTATTGCGTNCAACAATACAAATAGAAAATGAACAATATACTAATTCAATTAATTAAATATACAAAGGAAATGAATTAGAAACACATAATTATATCAATACAGTAGTAACCACTCTATGTCAATATTAGCTATCATTATGTCAATCAGTCAATTAATTTGGAGAAAAAATAAAATAAAAAGAAAATCATACACATTTCATAATGAAGAGTAAAATAATAATAAGGATATGTCAGTCTTGTCCGGTAATTATACACATCCATTTATGTTGGATCGGACAATCAGCGCGAGAAGCAATCATCCCGAAATAAAAATATTATAAATATTATAAAAAAATATTATAAATATTTAAAAATAATTTTTCGATAGCTTGTCGTCTCAGCTAAAAACATGATCATAACGGCCAATATAGTTCGTGGCATCAGCTATATAGCGCTGCATAATGCATTTCATTACCTTATTCTACCAGTCGAGGTAATATTCTAACGCAACCTTCAGACGTGCCATTAAATTAATACAGCGCCAACCGCCTTTCCAACGGTTATTACGATGATATAAAACGTAAAATTAAACCGTAAAACTAGTTTTAGTTATATCAACGACTCGCGAAAGCCGAGGAAAATGCTGTGATTAAGTTTTAGTGTTTGTTCTTCTTCTTCTTCTTCTTCTTTGTCGTTTCCTCATTACTGAGGGTCGTGACCACCTTGGTCCAGTTTTTGCACCAGCTTCCTCCAATGTTGCCTGCATTCGGCCTGCTTAATGGCGCCCGGGACGCTGGTGTTTGTGGCCTCCTTGATAATGTTGAACAAATGTGTCAATTCTCTAGGAGCTAAACGTCAAGACCCGTCTATCTACAATCTGTATGCAGCGTCTCCTCAAGTACTTCGGACACGTGGCCCGACAAAATCCTGAGAACTTTGAAAAATTAATAGTTGTAGGTCACGTGGAAGGAAAGAGAAGTCGAGGAAGATTACCAACCAGGTGGACGGACATTATCAAGGAGTTTTTGTTAGAAAGCTACAAATAGTGTTTTTTTTTGCTCAATCTATATAATAATAAGAATAAAAAAAATATATTTATTTATTTCTTTCAGATAATTGGAATAACGGCTCTCTACAATAAGGGTAAGATTTATTCGTAGTATTGTTTTTTAAACAGTCCAATTATTAAATACATATAAGGTGCCAAAATGTGCGTTTATACAAATATGTTCCCATTAAAAACGCCCACGCAACATGGAAATAGATCGCGTTTGCTAATTATAATTTATAATTAATTTTATCGGAAAATAATATTATAATGTGTTCGACTTTTTTAAACAACTTCAAAAAACAGGTAATACGATCGTAATTCGGATTTTTTTCATTGTTTTGTTAAGTTCAAGTTCTTTGTTTATAAACAGATTTGGATTTTTTTTGTAAAAATTTGTAAGAATTTACTTTGCTATTCTTTTCATATAGAAATATAAAATAGGTTTAGTTATGTCTACGATTCATCAGAAATGAAGAAAATACCATAATCTAGTAAATTATCAAGATTTAATCTGTGTGTTCGAAATGGTGTCATACACATGTTCATACTTCTGACGTTCATTAACGATATAAACGAACATTTGACGCTTTTTTTTTTTTTTTTTTTTTTTTTTTTTTTTTTTTTTTTTTTTTTTTTTTTTTTTTTTACTTTTTNAGGCTATTCCAGCGTAACCTTAACTAGTAAGTGAGCTCACGGGGCTCAATTACGCTTTTTTTTTTCCTACCTAAGCTGGTAGCCTTGAGAGGCTATTCAAGCGTAACCTTAACTAGTAAGTGAGCTCACGGGGCTCAAACCTGACGACGTTGCTAACACGAACCCTAGCAAGAGCCGTGCTTCGCAGAATCTACCACCGGATCGGAAACGCGACCCACTGAGAAGATCCGGCGAGAAACTCAATGGGCTATGTGTGAGGGTTTATTTACTCGTCGAGCCCTTCGTCGCAAGCGACGGGTTCGGCGAGAACGATGACCGGTAACATTTTACGCATATCGGTACATACACAAGTATTTATACTACAAACCGCTTTATAGCATTAAAATCTTGACATTTGAGACAATTGAAGAATGTGAAGTCGGGATGTGACAATTGAAGAGTGTTATCTCTGGTGCTCACCTAACCCCCAACCTCCTTTGCCACTCTCGATTTTTTTATAATAGTTTTAAAATTTTCGAAGTCAACAATAAACATAAGTGGAATTCTCTTTGAAAGTGAAGCTTTGAAATTCTCTTTGAAGATAATCGAGAAATTGTGCGATATTATAAGACGAACTGATTCCTTTGATGTTCGAAATTTTATTGGGCTGTATAATAATTATACGATCGAACAGCGATGATTAAGTACAAAAATAAACTCTTAACTTATTAAAAAAAAAATCATAAAGAACTTTTGCATGTTTTTTTTTCTGCTTTATCTATTTTAAGACTTATTTGTTCCAGAAGACCGTAAGGGAAATGGACTATCTAATTCAAATTCATCGCATTAATAATTTTGTATCTGAAAAAGTTACCGAGAAATTTAACGAAAATACCATTTATTTATCTGAAAATAGTAACATGTGCCCATCCTCGAACTCCTAAGGTGTTAAATGGTCCGTATCGTGGCCCATTGATAATAAAATTGGACATGGCATCAAATATGGTCGGCATTTTCACTATATTTATCTGTTCATAATTTCGTGAAGTCATGCGCTTAGCTTACCCCCACAATTTCAAATAGTAATAATACCTAAACCAGAATTGCGCTAAGACATGATTATTTACATTGGGCTTGCAGCCTGATAAGCATCTATTGATTCAGTACTTCGATTAATGAAAGACACGAATTGGCTATATTTATTTGATGATGACTAGCTGACCCGGCAGACTTCGTAGTGCCTCAATCGATAAATGAAAGAAACATCAAAGGAAAAACAAAATTGTTTGTTTTTATATAATTCCGAGCTTTTTTATAGTTTCTCACCTTTCAAGCCTTCCCTGGATTTCCACAAATAATTCAAGACCAAAATTAGCCAAATCGGTCCAGCCCTTCTCGAGTTTTAGCGAGACTAACGAACAGCAATTCATTTTTATATATGTATAGAGATATTGACTAGTTTGTCAGATCGTTGCCTCTTTCTCGTTGTGGCTCAAAAATAGCTTGCATGACACTTCTTCCTCCTTCCTCCTCCATCCATAATTGATGAGAACTTTCATTAGACTAGTCTTAAAATTGTAAGAACTATGCATTGGGAACGTCTGTTCTCCTTTAATTGGACCTGTTGATCCAATTAGAAGAAAAATACCAAGTTGAAATACCTGAAAGCTTGAGATGGCCAAATCATGTCTGCCCTTTGTGCTCGTTTAAAAGGTAACTAAGTTGAAATCATGTGGTTAGTGATGAGCTTCGAAAGTTGCAAGGCCGAAAGGCTACTTTACTGGTGGTAGGACCTCTTGTGAGTCCGCGCGGGTAGGTACCACCACCCTGCCTATTTCTGCCGTGAAGCTGTAATGCGTTTCGGTTTGAAGGGTGGGGCAGCCGTTGTAACTATACTTGAGACCTTAGAACTTATATCTCAAGGTGGGTGGCGCATTTACGTTGTGGATGTCTCTGGGCTCCAGTGACCACTTAACACCAGGTGGGCTGTGAGCTCGTCCACCCATCCAAGCAATAAAAAAATAATAATAAAAAGAGTAATCTAGTTTCAAGTTCGAAATAATTAGAAGAAAATTAAATTAGATTCGAGAAACGAACGAATACCGTCAACACGTCTACAAAGAACAGCGCTCCCTAAGTAATTATGTAGTGTAATTAGGTAGTTTTTTTGACGTTCAACAAGTATGTACTTTCATTTATGTTGAATAAAAATTTTTGATTTGATTTGATTTGATTTGATTTAATCTTAATCGGTATTACAACAAAACTGACTCAATGTTCGCTGTAAACAAATATAATTTATTTGAGAGTTGTTAAATCGGATACACTCGTGTAACACGAGTAATTGTCGTTCTCATTAAAACGTGAAGGTATTTGTGAGATAACAAATGTTTAACTTGTAATTAGTGTAGATAGTGGAGAACGGCGTACTATGGGGTTTAACCTCGAATTAAATCGACTTCCAAAACGGAGGCATGTAGATGTTCTGATAACGAATTAATTTATGGTCATAGGGCTCACAAGGAATTGGTCCTCAACCCCCACTATCTTATTTCAAATCTAAATCAGTAATAATACAAAGTTGATCACTCGAGAGCATTAAACGGGAAAAGTTCAATGCTCTTTGAACTTTTCCTTTTTCTCTTTATAACATCTGTACTTCACTACGATGCCAACTTTTGGAAGCTCTGACAATATCCGACTTTAAATGCTCCCTAGTCCCTCGTCAATTTTAATTTATTTAGCTAAGTATATTTTAAAGTAAGGCTTTCGGAGACTTTATTTGATTACGGGAATCTTAAGGGCACATTTCTTTCAATCAAATTTGATTAAAATGTTAAACTCCCACTGTTGACGACTGTTCCCGTGTATAAAAAAATGATTCCTCATTCATTTTTAAAAATTGGAAGACGATTGAGTTTGATGGATCCCTAAATTAAGTCAATAAATAAATTAGAAAAATCGTTTCAAATCGATTTTATTAGATGTTTATCTACTTGGTTTAAATGAGTACTCCATTTTAATTATACGTTGAATTCTCGTGTTTGTTGTTTTTACTGTTTCGGTTTCTGAGTCTGCAGCCTTTTTGGTTACAGTTAGACATCTAATCATCTATCATCTAACAGTACTGAAAGTGGCACCTGTGGCAGAAATGTTAAGAAGTTCGCGTTCGGGATGGTATTGACATGCGATGAGACGAAATGACAATGAGGTTGTTTAGAGAGTTTTAACTATGAATGTCGGAGGTTTTAAAGTAAGATGTAGATCTAAGAAGAAATGGATGGATTGCGAGAAAGACGATAAGTGTAAGAGGGAAGTGAGTGAAGAAATAGTATATGATAGAGTATGGAAGGAGAAAACATGTTGCGCCGACCTCAAGTGACTGGGAGAAGGGCAGGAGAATGATGATGAGTCTACGTGGTTACGGACGTCGTTAAATATATTCGTGAAGGCAGTATGTACATAAGTAGTGTTCTTCGCCACGACTATCGCCCCAAGGCAAGGTGAAGTATGACCATTCCTCCTGACTCAAAAGAAGGTATTGTCCATTTTAATCACAATTGCGTTATCCATCGTAGATCTAAATCTCTAAACTTAGTTTTGAGTTTAGAATTCAACGAAGTCTACTAGTTACTAGATGATAAAAATCAGTAGAACTTTGATGTCGCCCCACTTAAAATATTGGCCGCGTTGTATTAAAACTAGCCTGAATAATAACCTGGAATAAATAATAAAGTATTTATTTATTTATTTAGTAACTGAACTAAATATGGAGAGGAAGGAAACTTTAAATATTAAGAATAATGCTCTCTTTAATACGAGCTCCGACTTGGTGCGAATGCGGTGGACACTTCTCACAATATTAATGCCGCATTTGGGGAGAATATGACAAGGGCACGCATTGTGCGTTCGTTGTTAAATTGCTTTTGCTTTGGAAACATCGACTCGAAGAATGAAACACGGGGAAGATCGGGCACTACGGTAAATCATGACGAATTAAAAATAACAGTGGAAGCCGAACTTATCATATTGGAGGTTTAGTAAATAATGTTTTAACGAAACTAAGTACTTTAGTCAATTGTAAAAACAAATTCTACGCTACGGCGATATGTGCGTGAAGTGAAATGTTAAGCACACGAGTGGTCGCGGCTTGCAAATGTCATTATTTAATTTAACATTGTAAACATGTTGGTCAAGATTGGCGGTGGATGAGTTTTTTTAGATGGGCAGACGAGTTTCGAAAACCACAACGCGGATACTACTGTAAGAGACATAGTGAAATGAGATTGAAATCTAAATACATTTCTTAAATGACGCATCAAAGCGAAACGTATCCCTATTTGGAAGTATTGGTGCAGACACAACAAGAGATCTGAGGAAGGGGCACATTAAAAATACTTGAATGAGCTGTGTGAAGAGGACATGCGAAAGACTAACCCATAGACAGAGCCCACTGAGT